AAATATGGATCAACTTGGAGTGCCAAGACTATCTAAAAAAAGATCTGCAACAAGTCTTTCCCCAGCCTGGTAAGCAAAAATGCGGCGTCTGGTAACAGGTAAGAATCTCCGAAGACAAAGGTTAGTGGCAAAAGCCGTCCATGTGCCCAGTACACAACATTATCAAGAAGGATTTCCGTCTGGAAAAGCGACGCAAGTCTTGTGTACGAGTTGCATTCACGAAATATGTGTTCAACTGTCGCGTACCCCAAGAAGCTGGAGAATAAAATGAGTATTCATGCTATTTCACACATAGGCATGTGTGATCAGTCTGTTAAAATAGGTGCTGGGAAACGGTCATCTTCGTACACTATAGGGTTTATGGAAAGCAAGCGGGGGGGGGGAGTAGTATGCTTTGGACACGAAGGTATTACAGCGGAGCCTTCTTTAATAGAAATTACGTTGTAAAGCAACGTAGTCGTCAGACATGGACTGTGACATTTTTTCTAAAATTTGTTCGATTGGCGATGTATAAATATTCTGCATAAAACTAAATATTAATGAGAATGAAACGAAAACTTACAACAAAAAACACAAAAGGAAAACGTTTTGAGCAAGCGCTCTTCTCTAGACGTTTTTTTATATGTCATAACTCTGAACTAATTATTGTTTACATTTATATGAATCAAAACAGAACTTAGAACCAGTTAACAACTCCAAAGAATTACTTCAGTCATGAGGTTCGGTCTTATTAGGAATTTTGTGTTTTATACAATTATATTAGAAGCCTTTCTCTTTGGATTCTTTGAGGATCAACAACGATTTCTATCACTGTGATTTCAAATCCTATACGATTTGTTTTGAATTTAGCGCAAAGCTACGCGAGGGCTATCTGCGGCAGCTGTCCGTAATTTAGCAATGAAAGACTAGAAGGAAATCAGCTAGTTAACACCGCCAGCCGCCAACTTTTGTTCTTCTCTTTTACCAACGAATAGTGGGACTGACTGTCACTTTACAACGCTCACACGGCTGAAAGGGTGAGTATGTTCGGCGACGGAGATTCGAACCTGTGACCTGCAGATTGCGAGTCGAACGCCCAAACCACTAAGTTATGCCAGGCCAAACTTATACGCGTAGCACTCTTTAAGATACTGAAACTAAAACTTCCCTTGAAACTTGACAAATTGGTTGAGTACTTTATTTATTTTTTTTTTTTAGAATTTTCACGCAAAGCTACACAAAAGCTTTGACTGATACACTAGAGGGAAGGAAGCTAATATATAGCAACTATCTCCAACCATTGGACTAATTACTCTTGTCTGACCAATAGTCGGATGTGACTGTTCCTCTTCTAGCGCATCCGCCTGCGGGCCCAAAGTGTGGAGCGCACTTTTTCGGCAATGGGATTCACGGTCTGAGCACATTAATTACTTGGTCACGCCCGATTCAAATGCTTTGGATTATTTTCAAGTGATGATAGTGTTGAAATACCTGAAAATTAGACTTTCTGTGTGGTTGTTTTAAGTCTTTAATGCCTGATGAATTATTGTTTCTCCTGTTTGTGTGTATTTATAAAACTATATTTCTTATTTTGATAAATTAGTAGCTTGTATTATGATAACAAAACGCACACAAAATAACAAAATGATACAGAGAGAAACAAAATTATTGTATCATTTCGTTTTTCTGTACGTTTTGTTATCATATGAGTAAGAGGCCTGGCACGGCCAGGTGGATAGAGAGCTCGACTCGCAATCTGAGGGTCGCGAGATCGAATCCCCCGTCCCACCAAACATGCTCGCCTTTTCAGTCGTGGGGACGTTATAATGTGACAGTCAATCCAATTATTCGTTGATAAAAAGAGTAGCCCAAGAGTTGGCGGTGGGTGGTGATGATAGCTGCCTTCCCTCTTGTCTTTCACTGCTAAATTGGGGACGGCTAACGCAGATATCCCTCGTGTAGCTTTGCGCAAAATTTGAATACAAACAAACATTTGGGTAAGTAGGCTGTCCGTAGAACCTTGTGTTTTAATTGAATTAAATATCAATACAAAATAAGTAAATTTATCAATACAATAGGTAAACTGATCAATAAGAATAGGTAAATTGATCAGTACGACATAGGTAAATCAGCGTAGAATCTGAAAAGTTGCTTTTTTTCGATGTTTTTTTTTATCCCTTTTGATTTTCATTTACTAGAATTGTACGTCCTTCTTTGTAATATTCCGCGTTGTTGACGAATATGGCAGACCGTTCTTTAAGAGAGAGTATATTTAGTACTAGTATTTCATGATCGAAGATATATATACATCTGTGAGAGCCTTCGATTATTGAATATTAATACAATCTAAATTCAAGTTATTAAAGAGTTATATAATTTCTTCGTCAGCATGGTAAATAAACTTACAGAATAATGGCAAAAATAAAGTATGAAAATAAATTGTAGGAAAGGAATAAAAATAACAATATACAGTACAAAAATCAATATAATCAACTCGGAGAAAATTATTCTCAAAAAAGTGAATAAAAAGAAAACTGTAATACATTGGTAGAGAACCTGTCCGCCCCCAGTGTCTTGGTATTACCTGCCCAGTGCTGTTAAGGTAAATATTATGACGACCTGTTTCTACAAGATGCTTCATAGACGTGCTACACCCATGTCTGAACACGGCGGTGAGTAAAAGTGAAATCACCCCTCATGTCTGAAGGCGTTCACTCTCGTTGGACAAGAGTGCAGGAAACAGACACGGAGACGTCGAAACACTAAATCTACAAGCACTGAGAAAGAGGTGTAGCAGCCTTAAATTAAACACTAGATCTACAAGCACTGAGAAAGAGGTGTAACAGCCTTAAATTAGAAAAAAAAGAAGAAAGAAGAAAATAAAGTGAGACGTTTGATCCTCGTTTATTTTATCCATGCTTTTAAAGTGGCCCCGGGACTTACACTGCTTAAATCCGAGGTTCGATTCCCCGTGGTGGACACAGCTGACCTTGCTCTAAAACGAACACGTTTAAAGAAATTTTTTTCAGTTATGATTTATTTTGTTCATTGTAAGCATTTTGTAAAGTTATTAGTATTACACTTACAAGGTAACCACCAGCTAATGATCTATCAAAAAACATTACAAAATAAAAGTGATCTTAGTGTACATAAATAACATATCTACAAAATAAATTAATTCATCTTTAGTTTTGTGTGCTTCTTCTGAGTTACCTCAGGTTTCGTGTTCATGTTATAAAACGTTAAATAAATTAGCAAAACAAACACAGAGAGTATTTTTATTAGAATTAGGACATCAACTTCTCAGTTTTTAATAGTTTATACCATGCAGATTAAACTCAGGTGATAGTTTCATTGGCATGTGGTGATTATGTTTTGAATATATAAACACCAGGTAGGAGAAATTGATTTTGAGTAGAACTTAGGATTAATTCATTGGATCTCAAACTATGGTATACATGTACCACTCGTGGTACGAGGACCAATTGTGGATGGTACGCGAAAACAAAGTACAAATTATAAAGTTTGTAATAAGCCTAATTCGAGCTTCGCGAGTATCTAAAGATACTGCTCTCCCCACTTACGCACTCGCTCATCGCCTCCATAGACTCACCTGTGTTTGACAAATATTGTACCAGATATTCTTCAATCGTAGCAGAAAAAAACAATCACATCCTTCTCATTAATGGGTAAGTGGTAAACATATCGATTTTTGCTACTAATTTTTTTAATTAGGCCTGGATTTATACTTCAAAACAAAAAGTGGTAAAAAGTTTGAGAACAACTGGGTTGGTGGGATATAATTCCGCTTGGGATTTACTTTTTGTGACCGGTGTCACTTAAAACCACGTGTTTTTAAAAAGTAGTTATAAGGCGGATGTGTGACTTTTCTCTTACTGGAAATTAACTGTCCAGTAGCATCTTGTTGAGATGGTTTATTGCAAGTTTATTAAGAAACTTTAATTATCTATGTGTACAAACTGAACGATTCTTTTGTACAGGCTCAAGTGGTGTAGATTGCTAACTTCGTAACAGTAAAAATATTATCCGGGTAATGTGCATACTAGATGTAAGTAATGTTTTATACGAACTCACAGTTAGTACACGTCACACCACCGTTTAACAGTGTTCTTGTTTTGTACTGCTAAGTTCAGTTTGTCTATTAAAATTAAATGGATTTATTCAAATGAATAATTAATTTTAAAGATGCCGATTGATTACATGTGTCTAATAATTAATATTTAAACACAAGTTATTAATTAATAAATTACTCTCTTCAAATTTGAAGGAGTAACCCATTTGTTGTTTATTCGTTTTAAAATATACTTTAAACTACGCACATGAAAAAAAAGGTAACTGGAATTTAAAGCATTAAAACTCTAAAACATATAGACTGTATCGTAAATGTAACCAATGACACGATAACTTTTATATGTTTTTTCTTCCTTTAGAGACAGTTATGTGGGTTGTATAAGCTTACTGTCTTACATAAAATCTCCTAGACGCCCTTTTACTCTTTTTCAAATTGAAATAAAGAAATGCGCTATAAAGTTGATCACGGCTAACTCAATGTTACCTCACCATATACAGACATATCTAACTGTTTCAAACATTCAAATAAAACAAATATTGCTACTCACATTATGCATATACATTTAATGGTCTAAACTGGCATCATGTACAAATATTGTTCTAAAGTTTTGTTATTTTTTTTCTTTTGTCCTTTATAATGGCAAATGAGAAAAGGGTAATTGGAAAAGAACATAAAAGGTAACCATAGAAACAGATTAGTTTAATACCTGGAGGATATATATATATATATACAAGTTGTCGTGGCTCCACCCTAAGATAGCAAAGGCTGTTCTACCACTTTTATCAGTTCCCGGATGCTTATATATTTATGTGGTGGTGGGGGGGAATGAAGTTAGTCTATAACCTGCTTGAGGACTCGTCATTTTTCCCTTGCTATATATAGTAAAAATGGTGAGCACGTGCTGTGGTGACAAATATGGCGCTCAGGTATAGCTTCCACTTCTACTAACTTTTGTCAGAAGAGCGGCGCCCTTGCGAAATAGTCTAAAACTAGGGTTATGTGCAATAATCAGTCTAGACTAACTTTCTCGCATATGTGGTCTCGCCAGGCGAACTTCTGTAGCCGAGCTGCTGGGAACTGGCATTAAACAAAACTGACGTCTACGTTGTTCATGGTGGCGGCGTTATCCTGCACAACCTCTTTAAAAAGGTTAGTTTGTTTCTTCTTATTTATTATTTTTATCTTCTCAGTGTAGCCCTTTTTATATCATTACTAAGTTAAGAAGATAAATAAAGAGTATTAAACATTATGTATATAAACTAGACAAAGCTAAAGGTAGAAAATAAATAAGCGATATCTGTGCTCTAGTAGCAGTTTACCTTGCCGTCGGCACTAGGTTTGAATCATTTATACCGAGGCGGTATATCCAGTTCCTCAGTAAAGCGTATGTCCAGCTTTCTTAGCAGAGCGACGTTAATTAACGTTACCATCAAGTTGTTTTCTACGTTCACTTGTTAATTAGTCATATTTATTCAATCAATTCAAAATAAAAGTTTATCAGAAAATATTCTCATAATGCAGCCTTGATTATGACTCTACATGAATATAACCTTTAAAATAACCTTAAAATTTACCTATCTGTGTATCACCGAAAAAGGTTCGGAATAAAGGTGTTTTTGAATAAAATTCTGAGTCTTCAGCAAAACTAAGAAATAAAGCCTTGAAAGTAGCCCTGAATCAAATGTATCTTTTTGCAGTTAATATAGCTCTGTGTACAGCTCTTCGTATATAAACCTGGGATATATATTTTAAACTTTTAAAAGTCTCCAGTAAAATTATAAGAAATATGACAATCAAAGGAGCCCTGAATAAAAATGCATTTTAAGAGTTATTTGAAAAGATACATTGCTGCATATGAAAACCTGGGATATATTTTAAACCTCTAGGTATAGTTCCAAACAATTAAAGCCCTAAATGTTAACTATAACCAAACTGGACCTTTAGAATAAATATATTCACCGTGCTAATGCGTAGATTTACATTCCTTATTATTTCCCTAAAGGATTTTAAACTTTGTTTTTAACTACATTTTATTCAAAATCATTTGCTCTAATGTCAGATAAATTTTAGAGTTATTTTAAGGGCTATGTTTCTATGGATGTAATCACAACTATATTACTGGGCCATTTTTAGTTATATTGCTCTGGTTCCACTGAAGATTAAAGGACTTTATTCCGAGCTGTTTTCAGGGCTGTGAAGGCAGGTAAATTTTAGAGATATTTTAGGAGTTGCTTTCTTTAGGCCTAGATTTTCAAAAGTGTGAGCTCAGCTACATACAGTGCTTTTGGGCCTTAATCTTCAGGATCATATATTGAGACTTTGACCTGTTTCACTGTTACATGGGCAAAAATACCTAAACATTATTTTTCATTACTCAAAAGTGACAATAAACTACGTTGTAGAATGAAGTTTTAACTAGATGTGGTTACTTGAAGATGTTACTACTTCACAGGATTTTTGGTAGATATTCTAGATACATATCTAAAAAACATAGCTAACAAAACTTAGCTAGGAACATCACGTGGTTGCACGCGTAGTAGCTTCTTTAATTTCTGTTGGACAGTGAAGAGATGAATGTTTCATAAATACAAAATATATTCACCAATTTTACTGCAAGTCTGTATTTTAAACCGAAGACAACCCGGCTGAGGTCCCGAGAAGTTGTCCTACACGTGAGTTGTAGCTTTAGTGTAGACTATTGTTTTAGAAAACTTGTTCGAACACTGACCCGAAATGGAACGCTGAACGACGTGACTTTACTTCTGATCTTTAAAGTAGTTTTTGCACTGTATAGTCAGCGTGAAACATGTATCTACCACAAAGATCATCATCTTTTGGTAGTTTTAATCTATCTTCTTATTTTACACAAGGCCTGGCAAGGCCAGGTGGTTAGGGCGCTCAACTCGCAATCTGAGGGTCGCGGGGTCGAATCCCTGTCCCACCAAATATGCTCGCCTGTTAAGCCGTGGGGGCATTATAATGTGACGGTCAATCCCACTATTCGTTGGTAAAAGAGTAGCCCAAGAGTTGGCAGTGGGTGGTGATGGCTAGCTGCCTTCCCTCTAGTTTTACACTGCTAAATTAGGGAATGCTAGCGCAGATAGCCCTCGTGTAGCTTTGCGCGAAATTCAGAACAAACCAAAACAACTTACACAAATATATATAAAAAAAGGTTTACCTAATTCATTTCAAGCAGAAGTATCATATTTTCGTATTGTAGATAATACTATACAGTTGTGACAATAATTGTATAAACCTCTGACTTTTCTTCTTTATAAACATAAAGCAAAAATAGAAGCATATATCATGGCCAAATGCAGAATGTTCGAAAGGGGGTTTTCTAATTTGTGGGATGAAAAGCCAATACGTTGTGCGGAGTATAATCAGCATGCAAATCATACTAATGCTATGGGGTGTATGGGGGCATCCCTCACAGAAATTGTTTTAACAAAATAGGTTCTATGAGATTAAATCTGGAAATAATTTTCCATTAGATGTAGCTTAAACAACCGCATGGCTGTTCACATAAAATCCACAAAAATCCAATGAAAAGTCTACAAATCATCATTTTATTGTAACACTGCATGGGGAGCTGGACTTAAGTAAGCATAAAAATGTACGTTTTATTATAGTAAAGTTCTGTACTATCTACATCAAAATTTGTTACATCACAAAAATAGGAGGTTCAGCCGAGTCCCCTCGACCCCCCCCCCCTGCGTACGTGCGTACATATTAACACGATTGAATAAAGCATTTTCACTTTCCTCTATATAAGTATACATGTTTGTTTGCACTAACAACAAATTTACATTAAGTTGTAACCTTACTGTTCTAGAAATCCGATAATGCGACACTTTTCGGAAATTGGACTTTTTTCTTTTTTCTTCTAGTTTTTTATTTTACACTCTGTAAATAATATATATAGTTTTTACATGAGAATTATGTACATAAAATATTTTATAAAGATGATTTTACTGAAGATGTACGAAGCACTAGAGGAACTTCTAGTGGACGATAAAAACCTCGATGCTGAAACTCGAAAAAAAAAAAGACTCATGCACAACGTGGTTAAAGTACTGATTTAGTTAATAATGATATTTTTCTATGTACAATGGAAATTTGTGGCAGGAGACACCTGTTGAGCTTTTACGAAATAAAATTTTCAGTATACGATTATTTACTTTACAAAGGAAAGAAAAACAATAACAACATAACCTAATACAAAACGTATAATTATTTATATAAGAAAATTAATTTTATAAAAAATACGTATTTGTAATTTTCTTATTAGTTTATGCAAAAGTGTCATTTATAATCATTGTTGTGAAAAACAATACCTTTTTATCCTATAACTTATGCACCATTAAATAAAAAAAATTAAGCAACTTTGTTAATAGGTTAGAATTACGTATTAATTCTGAATATTTGAATGCTAAGCCTAATGATGATACAGCAGATTTGTTTTACAGAACTGGGACTGTGATTTCCAGTGGTTAAACAAAACCGGAAGGTAAACGTCATTAACTGGCTGTAAGGGTAGATATATATATATAAATATATATACTCGTGTGTGCATATGTACGTAGACTATATGTAAAAAGTGTGTATTACCATTTACAATAGAATAATAGAAAGTATATTTCCATTTCTGTGAATATTTTTTTCTTTCATCATATTTATAAAACTGTGATCGTTTTTTAACACAAGTGTTTCCATCCATTCATCTGTTCACCCATATACCTATCTGTCTAAATACAAATTTAACCCTATCTCTTACCATCCATCAGCTATTACGTTTAGTTACTAGTCTTTAAATGATTTAAATAAATAGCTGACTTAAATGTGTTCGATAATACAGTGATGGAGGTTTATATAGTTACTGCCACTAAGAGGTTAATAAAAGAAAACATTTTTCCTCAAAGCACAGATTGGACAGTTAAAAAGGTCTCTTTCTAATTGTTCGTATTTTATAAACGTAAACGCGTACTGAAAATCAAATAATCGGCGTAATGAAGGCACTTTAAACGACGGTATAAATATGAACTAAAACACGAAATTTGTGGAGCCAATCGAAGTTACAATAAGCGTTTATAAGCCAAAACAAGTGTCTAAAATAAAATATCAAAATTAATGAACGTGTATTTGTTCATATGTTAAATTTTTGTGTAATTTTATTTAAAAAAAAATACATTCTAAATTTTCAAATCTATCCCACGTTTTCTAAAGACGTTCTTCAAGATAGAAATACGAAGAAAATATTCAAAAATTAAATATAGAAACAGTATTAATTATAAAATAAATAAAAGTTCATCGATTGGACTTTATGTAAGGTTATACGGTGAAGTGGTACTTCAGAACATGCACTTCCATTGTTTTCACAAGTAGCCAACTTACTATGTTCTGAAGGTAGCTTGACATACCTTGGTATGTTATTAATCCGTACTTTATAAATATGATTTGTAAATGACTTAAGTAAACTGATAATAATTATAATTCACTTGCTTAATCTGAGTCACACAATAACAGCTGTTTTTGTTTTTTTATAAAAAGTGATGACATATATACAACGTCTAGGCCATTATTATGTCTCTCGTATCCCAGCCGGCTTCATAAGCCCTGGTATTTAGTGACGTTAACATATCGTCCTTTGTATTAATTCATAGGTTCTTAGAAGTACTATAGTAGGTTACAGTGGGTTAATTGTTAGTGTGAGTGATGGTGAATCTCAGGATTCACGGATATTATCCTCAAAATCACGCTCCGCACTTTGGGGCCATGCGCTGCATTATAAGAGTGTCAGGTCTGAAACAAACAAAAAAGTTACAATAGTCACCAGGACGTAGATCAGGACATAGGTATATCTTTTGTATCCTTATAAGTTAGAATTCCTAGTTCCACCTACATGTGTGAATGAAATCTTCGGCAAAAAATCCTGGTTCCCCGGTGGAACAGTGATAAGTCTTCGGATTTGCAACGCTACAAAAAAAGGTTTGATTCTTTTCGGTGAACACAGCAGATAGCTCGATGTGGCTTTGTTATAACACAACACACACAGAGAAAATCTGACTCTAAAGATGGTGTAAAATAGACCAAGTCTAATTATACATTAGTCTTAAAAGAAGTAATTATTCAGATTTTGATAATGCTGG